CATATTATGAGTCTGACAATAATTAAACTTTAGTTTCATTACAGAAGTGTGCTATTAAATGTGGAAAGCGAAATTTTATTGGAATTTCACTTATTAAAGAGGTTAACTACTAGAATGGGACACGGGTGTCATTGTTATCATAAATCCATTTGAAGCGAAGCGCTTTTTGCGAAAATACCCAACTGCGTTAGCTGTAGGCAGTTTCGGTCAAATAGAAATTGTCAACAGAAAAAAAGAAATTCTTCAATACTCTGTAAATCAAACATCAATCGCTATGACGAATGAATACATACCAATTCAATTGGTGAGTGATTCTCCCCATAAGTATTGAAATTAGTATCCAAAGCCATTAAAGAAACATAAATTGTGTAAGATAAATTATACAATATTATTTTGAATTGACAATTTAGTTTTTAAACCGCTTGAACGCAATTATGTGTAGTTTACAATTGATAACAATATATTAAAAGAGAGCGCTATACTTTATTTCAGGAAACCGTCCTTCTAAAACAAAGACCCAGCGGATCAATTACTGATATCGATCGGTACTAGATATGGTTTAAAAGTAATCCCGCGTTAAATCAATAATTGTCTCGAAAATTAAATAATTTTATCTCAAACCCGATTAAATTATTTTTTTGTATAAACTTAGTACATAACTCCATTTTTTTAATCTTTCTGTAATGGGGTCAAGAATTTTTCCAACACAGACACGTAGTATCATACACTGGAAATACCCAATGCGAATCAACTCTATATTAATTGTTTGTCTATTTAAATGATCAATAAAAAGTTTGAAGTGCTGGTAGACGGCCCTAGCTACAGTTATTGTCATGCTTATTTAAAAAAATAAGCCGCGAAACCTATTTAGGCTATTTATGTGATAGATGGTACATGGTTATTGTACAAAACTAACCAAAAATAAATGTGTGTTGTTTTGACTCGGGTTATGTTTTGTTTACAGACTGCGCCATTTTCAATTAATTAGTAATAAGGAACAAAAATCTGTGCTGGTTATTAGGTTAGACGATAAACCGTTTCAATTTCGTAAAGGCGTCTGTACTTTCTAATCTAATTATATGTTAAATTCTAAATTAAAGAATCCTTGATTACCTACAAAAAATTTGAATTTTAAATAAATCTTACTTAATAATAGGCATTACTGCCAGTGAAAAATACGGTTTAATTTTATTATTTTTGGAACGATACTTGCCTCGCCATCTATGTTGCAAAGGGCGAATAATCGAGGAAAGTGAAAACTGAGGCGAAATGCCGCTATCTAAGAGCATTGCAATAAGCTTATGACTGCCCAGATTTACACCGATCCAGAAATACTTGTTACTTTCAAAAAGTCGTTGAAAACCCTCATATAAAAATTTCGTTGAAAAATAAAATGTTTATGTTTGTCTGTTTGTGCATTCTCGATACTCTATGGAAAGGGTTTTAAGAAAACATCTTTATCTCTTGAACTATTTGTCGGAACGCAAAAACTCTTAACTAGAACCCGCGCCAGGCTTTTGGTCAGAGTTCTTTGTCCATAATTTACTACAAATTCACAGAGTGTTCATTAAACTAAAAAAAGGAGAATTGAGTTCTCCTTAGAAAGAACATTGGCTTTAACTAAAAGACCATAAATCATTTCATTATTTTGGCCGTATCGAGGGTTACACCTCTTGTTTATGAGGTTTTACATATCAGAGTGTACAACATGTGCCTTGCTATGTGGAAGTCACATGTATGCCGTAAAAGCTGGAAACTTTTCACTTTAGAAAATATATTTTTTGAAGTTTTGAATTTTTTTTAAATTTCCGATCAGAAAAATTCTTCAACCAGGAAACGCCGGAGATCTGAGACTAGAACCAATATCGCAGTCACTTTTTTAATGATGTACAGGGTATTGTCGGTTGTAGTCAAGGAACTAAATTTATCTCTACCTAAACGGAAAAGCACAAATAACGGAGCAGTTTGTTTTAATCAGTGGTGTAGGTTATATCGAGGGCAGAAATTTTCTTATTTACAGTTTTCATATATCATACAGATTGTGCGAGATATTTGTACAGATTTTTATATTTTCCAAAGTTTGAAATGACTGTAAAGTTAAGTTCAGTGCATGTTTGAAAGGCACTCAGGGTTCAGGATAGAAAAAACCTGGAGAGCTGCCCCTTTGACATAAAATGCGAGCACAATGTAATTAGTTTGCGAAAGTCGTCTAGTTTAGATGCCAATTGTAGTTATGTTTTGGTTGCAGGCAAAGGTTTGTGAAAAAAATGGTTAAAATTGAATAAATCAGAGTTTATTTGGGATTATCAACAAGACCCGGTATATTTATATTCAAAATTCGTTTTGTTTTAGGAAAACGTCCTGCTAAAACAAAGAGGCAGCAGCTCAATTAAAGTAATAGACTTCGGAAGCTCTTGCTACGCCAATCAAAGGGTCTACACCTACATCCAATCACGTTTTTATAGGTCGCCTGAGGTTATTCTGGGTCTCACTTACGGCACTGCAATTGATATGTGGAGCCTGGGTAAGCAGACGTTATTGCAGAATCATTTCTTTTCATTTTCGAGAAAGTTTCAGTTTTCAATGTCCAGATTCAAAAATGTAAATACGGATTTACAAGTTTTTGAGTTTTCATTGATTCATTAGTACAGAGAAATCAGCAATCTGTGTTCTGTGTTTTGCGGCATTCCTACATTACATGGAGGTGGCAGATATATATCAATTTATAGAAAACCGTAAATGGCTAAGATGTTAATGCAATTGCATACCTCGGAATTATTAGATATTATAGGTTATTATACCCGAAAGGTGGTCTTGATCGTTAAATATACCTTCCAAGGAAAGTGGTTTAGACGCTTCAGTAGAAGAATATTTTATTTCACCTGTAAGAGGATTGCTATTTGCGAGCTTTAATGCAAAGCAGTTACCGAACGCGCTGGTAACTACAAACAATTTTAAAATGTCTCTCGAATCTGGTCATAGGGTGGAGTTGTATCAGAAATGTAAATTAATCGAAAGCATTTTCCATAAGTGTCCCTTTGATGAAATCTTTTTTCGTGTTTAATATTGCATTTAATTCCATTACAGGTTGTATTCTCGCGGAATTGTACACCGGGTATCCTTTATTTCCTGGAGAAAATGAAGTGGAGCAACTGGCCTGTCTTATGGAAATACTTGGAGCGCCCCCAGATGACCTTATCACGGTAGCGACTCGAAGAAGGTTGTTTTTCGGTAAGCCCCTATCCTAAACGGCGAAAAATCGTTTACATTCATTTTGTACACTCTTAGATTCTCGTGGCAATCCCCGATGTGTGACCAATTCCAAGGGTAGGAAACGGAAGCCGGGATCAAAAAACCTGGCGATGGTTTTGCGTTGCAACGATGGCATGTTCATCGATTTCGTCTCTAGATGTTTGGAGTAGGTTTTGTTGTTAATATCGCATTCTTAATTCATGTTCTTATTTGAATTATATGATTTTAAAGAAGTAAATGTTTTTTATGGAAATTTATTCTGAAGTATAACAATAACTTTTTATCTCAGTGTCAAAAAATCAATCAACAGATTCGTGCATCCTATAATCATGTAAAGCCTTGTATATTTTATTTGCGTCAAAGAAGGTAAGACACTTTCGAACTGGCTATTCGGTTAACTTAATTTGTAGCCTTTGGATTTTTCACTCAGGTTTAGTGTACTCTGGGCCTTTATAAACTGGGGATGAGTTATTGATTTATGTTGACAATACCTTTACTAATATATACCCGGCCAGATACAGGTCGAAGGTCTGTTACGCGATAGAATTTACAGTTTTGAAATAAAATATTGACATTTCTAAATTTTGGACATTTTGTATGCGATGAATGCCGTCTACCGCATAAGCATTTATCACCTGGTTAAAAATGCTTGAAGAGGACAGTGTTGCCAATAACGGTATTTCATTTACAATTTGCGCATCCATGGGTGAAAATCTAAAGGCGTTAAATCTGTGTGGTCGGTTCCAAAGTCTCTTAACTCCATTGAAATGAACTTAAATAATATACCGGGTATTCCAATTAAATTCAAGAAGACAACTTTTAGATTTTTCTACTTCCACAGGCTACTGTAGTAGTATTTATCAATCTTCTGGATTCTTGCTGTGTCGGTTACTGATAAATCGAACTTACTGACGTTTCGCTAATCATCCTGTTGGCTTCTTCGGAGCTTAACTGAAACCACAGAACTGAACAGTTGCAGTTAAGCTGTGAAGAAGTCAACAGGATGACTGCGAAAAGTCAGCAAATTCAACTCAGCAACGATCTAACCAGGAGGAATCAGGAAGTTTTGTAAATAGTAACTTTTGGATTTAAAATTTTACCCTAAAACAAACTCTTATGGCAATGTAAAGGAGAATATAAAAACCATAAATGTTGGGACATATCCTGAATATAGGTTCTATGCAACTTTTATCTTCACTATAAGATTATTCAGTTATTATTCTAAAATTATTTGTAGCTGGAATCCCAAAAAAAGGATGACGCCTAGTGAAGCACTGTGTCACTCTTGGATCTTATCCGGGTCATCTTCGAATAAATCCAGCGAGCTGCGACACAGTCACTCGGAAGTGAACGTCGCTCATGAGAGTCACTCGTCGGGGAGCATATCGGGCAGCAGTCACTCGCGATCTCACTATAAGTGCGTACTTCAAAAAAGTGATAAAGTCAAGGCCAAAATCATAGACACGAGGTTAAGTAACGGGAAATTAGACTCTAACTTGAACGACTCCGGTACGTTTCTACCCCCCATACTCTAGTTTATCTTTTAGTCTCGTTATAGCCGACTAATAAGTGAAGTGTAGATCAACGATGACAATAGTTAAAGAGGTTATTTATTACGGTCATTGGCGTGATATGTAAATGGACCGTCGACAATTCGTTAAAAAAATGTTTAGAAGAAAATCGATTAAAATTTGATTTATGTTACCACCGTAATTGATAATTGGTAAATTTATCCGCAATAGGTTGTTTATGTTTTTTTTTCGTAATTAGCCAACATAACTGGTTGTTCACTTTCCAATTTTACTGCGGACGCTCCATTTGTATAGCAATTAATGATTAAGGTGTAGGTGTACCTCATTTTTGGTAGTCTCTGACTAAAAGGGCCAAACGAAAAACGATCTCTTTACGACCAATTAGTTTATTTGTAGGTTGTTTAAGTATGCTGCCATTGTTCTCCCGTTGGTTTTTTTATCTTTGTATGTAATAGGTATGGTATTGTTTGAAGTTGCTACGTCTTGCGGATATAAACCAAGTCAAGCTATTTCATTTACCTAGAACGGGGCAAATACTCCATTATTTTAGGAATGTAGTTTAGTGGTCTCAGTTTCGCTCTCTTGTGACTTCGATTGGAAAAATGTATTTTATCCATTAATTAATTCATTAAGTTAATCACGAAAAGGGAATACAAAAACGAAATCCTATACATGTTTCAGTCAAACTAAATGAAAAATAACCTTCACCTTATTGGTGAAACCCTTTAATTTAACTAATAAAAATTCATATTATTCAATCGATCACTTGCAGATAATTGCATTTAGACAAAAATCTATTTAATCCGAAAGATGTAGCGGCTTGTCCATACACAAACAAGTAATCACTAGGAAAACATACCAAAACGTTTAAATAAATCTCTAACTTTAAGATTCTAAATTTTATTAAATTGTGTATTCTATTGAAGTTAATATTTCCTACACTGACTGACGTGTAATTTTTTTTACGAGCTCATCGGCGTATAGCTACAGCCTCGAATACAAACAAAACAAAGATGACAAATATAACAAAGAATACCAAGGTGAGTTGTATTACTTGCGATAACTCCGACTGCTGTTTCAAACATTTCCTAAAAGGTTGTGATAAACCTTTGGACCGGAAACTCCATTGGAGGGTTCTAAGCATGGGCCATTAAATTTCTCCAATTCTAGTTTCGAAGGAATTGCAAAAATACGCTGTTAAGTAATAGCTTGTTATTCTCACTAGCTTTAGTTCCGTATTTTTAAAATATTTGTTATTTTCACTTCAATAACCAAAAATGAATAGGGAGGATATTTTATGAATCGAAAAGTGAAAGTTCGTTTATTTATGTATTTATTTTTTGCTGCATAAGCAAAATTAATTAAGCGCTTGGACGTATCAGTGTTTTAAAGTAATATAAAGGAATTATGTTGCATGTTTTATCGTCAATAAACTTCCTCAAGAAAATAGGATTTGAACAGGAATATGAAAAAAAAAATGCTGTAGCTATATTCCCACGAGATCGTAGTTGTTTATAAAAAAATAACACATTATAAAATATTCTTCGCTGCTGCCTGTTAGTTCTAGCAAAGCTCTAAGAAAACTATTTTCTCATCGGGAATGCAGATGCAAGAAGTCGCTGCAACATTATTCTATAAGTTTCTCTTTTTGTTCCAAAAAGAACTTGTCGATTTGTGTTTTGTTGCCTAGCGCAGTAGGTAATGGTAAATAGCTAGTTTATTAATCAGTTATTGTTTTAGCATGAGTATATATGTATTTATAACGAGTGAAACAGTCTTTTAAGAAACTACCTTTTCGTGACGGCCGGTTCACACTACAATACAATGTAAATTTTGATCAAATGTGATTCATAAAACTCTAATTCGGCGCTTCTTTAGTATTTATATACAATAAGAGGCGATGTATTTTTAATTGTTATTCTGAAAGAAAATTTATAATCATTTTAACGTTATACGAAAAGTAAAAAAAAAATGGATAAATCATCTCCAATTGTGATAATAGAAATATTGAATTATTAAAATAGATTTTACAATGATTATCATCACTTTCAATGTCTCTCGGTTATTGGAAACGATTATTAATGTTTATATAAACAAATTAATTCTTGTTAAGATTATATTATTATTTGCGCGTCTCTGTATTTTAGTTTAATTTAAAATTGACATTATTCTTATTGTTGTTGTTATAAGTTTCTTAAATAAGACTGACATAATAAAAGCATAAACAGTACTGTCGTATTTAATTTGACCAATTTCTCTGAAAGTATTCCTAGTTTACCTTATCATCTCGAAAAATTGAAATATTTTTGTCGCTATTTGGTTTTTTGGTCAGTCGTATTAAGAAAAATCGGATAAAATTCAAACTTTACTGACTTTTGTTTTTCATCTTGAAGGGGGAGTGAGGAATCACTTAAATTAAAATAATGCAATATGGGGCAGAGGGTCACAACAAGTTCATTCTGAGGAAGAAAATCTTACAAACTGACATTCGAGGACTTTGTCATGGTAGTTATTTCTAGGGTCGAAAGTCTAAAACTATACAGATATACTTTTGATACCATAGATAAATAAGTAAATTTTGCTGCTACCATAACTGTTTTTTATTTTGTTTTAAGGAAACTACTGCTAGCATTAACATTAACCATTTTGTAAATATGCTTGACCGAAACACTTTTTATTTAATAAAGATGCAGTTTGTAAAGGCTGTTGATACAATGGCACGATAGTTATAATTTTGCTACTCCCTCTCTCTCTAACAGGTCCGCGATTTCAAAATTTTTAATATACTTTTGATAAGTGGTGAGAAATATTTTTTCTAACGCTAGCAATTTTTTTTTTGAATTTCAAAAATTTTCAAACAAAAATCTTATGATATTTCCAGAAATTCATAACTGTTCACCAGAAAATTGCATTTTTGTTATAAAATCTACTCTTACCCTAGGAATATATATAAAGTCACTATTTGCAAATCTTCTGGATTGCTTCTGCGTCGGTTGATGATGAATCGAACTTGGTGACGTTTCACCAATCATATTGTTGGCGTTTTCAGAGCTTAATTGAATCTGTTCCAGTTACCTGGAAGTTTACCTGTGCAAGTTTCTTTGAAAACATTATAAAAGTTGTTAAAATACCAAGAAACTTCTTATGCAATTTATTCTATACGCAACATATTTGAATTTGACGTAATTGACCTGAAAAATATTTTAATGAAATTTTCGATACCGTTAACAAAAATATTTTTATTTTTTAAGACACCATTATCATGCCCATGGTCTTCGCCAAATGGTGGATGCAATATTTCCCTAGAGAAAAATCAGGAAAATATTCGGCTCAAATTTCTTGTCCATTTAAATTAAAATGTTTCAATTTTTGGTGCATTTTAAGTACGAATGCATTTTTATTTTTTCAAAACTTCTTTTTATTAATAGACTGGTATCACATCTAGGAACTATTTTATTTTAATTGAAAACAAACGCAACAAAATTGATAACAAACCAATTAAAATTAACAAATAATCAATTCGTTAACATCGACTAATTTCTTTAATCAAATACCCAATTTATATAGGAAATTCGAATCAAATGTTTATTTTTGCCATCTCTTTCATTTGTTGGTTTACATTTCGTCTTATTGCTTGCACTTGCTCAGTCGATCCCGATGCAATATGCTAATCGATTCCTACTAAATTAACAGTCGAGTTTTCTTATTTCGAGTGAATTTCCATTATCGAGTTTCAGTTTCAGCTGCGGCGGATTTCCATCGTCAAACGAGTTTCCTGCATCTTAAATGCGTTTAAATTATTAAATGCCGACGTCTTGTAATAGTATTACCGTCAAAATATTTGCATTCGATTGCTGGATATAAACTTTTCAGGATAAAACACAAATTTTTTGGGTAGTTTTCGGTCTCTTCAATACTTTGAATAACTTGACAAATACCTACAAATATATTTTTTTTTCTTTAGTTGCAACGTGTCAATCATCTATCAAATGCGGTAGTTACCACGCAGAATGCTACTAGTATAATTAAACTGCTGTGTCTTATTGCTTTGCACTATGTTTGCGGCTATGATCCTTTGTGGCGGTGGAAAGTCCGGCTCTGCAAGAATAAACGTTGCGGTTAGTTGAAATAACTCACTTTTTTAACGTACCGCAGTTGTTTGAGATTTGAATTCCGCTGATCCTAAAATTCGCCCGGTTACTTTCAAGCGATGCCAGATTATTTTTCTGATAAACAATCACTTTGTCGTTCGTGAAGTTGTGTAATACTGAAAAAAAATAATGTAAAAGTAATGTGCGCATTTTTCATGGAATAAAAATAATTCGAGTTTTTTTTTGAATTTTTCAGAGAAACTTCCACAGACTACTTATAATACTGTTGGCTTCTTCAGAGCTTGACTGAAGAAGACAACAGGATGATTGGCGAAACGTCAGCAAGTGCGACTCAGCAAAAACCGACGCAGGAGGAATTCAAAAGTTTTGTAAAAAGTATAATTGGAGGTGTCGGTTGTGTTAAATTCATGTTGATTTAATTGGGTTAATTAATTTAATTGGAATAACATGGCACTTTTTTATTATATGAATCGAAATATTTTTCATCTCTTTACAAAATTTTTATTATTGAAGATTTTATTATATTATATATTTTATTATATTATTTGTTTTACTGGGCACATTGTGACACATTTGTGACTAGTGCAGTTTTTTATATATCTGGTATTTCGTATAACAATGATATTATTTTTTAATGGTTTCAAATCTCACATCTGCAAAATTGGAACACAAACTAATTCTCTTTGTACCACTTCAAAATGAGTTAAAATGAGAATTTCGAGGCCGCTGTATGCCATAACCAGAATTTATATTAAAAGTATTCCGGACTGTACTGTACGGTCTGGCGGTCTATGCGACAAAACCTTAAAAATGGACATTCAATATTCGCCTGCAAGTGTGATTCCCAAACTGGCTTTCAACCAAAAAGAACGTTTATTTCAAATCTCGCTGTCAACAAAACTAACCAGTTCATAAATTCGATAGTCCGTAAGTAACCTTTTCGGAAATATTTTTTCAAAACATGCCCAGACCACATTAAAATTTTAGGAAAAGAACTGGGTGATTTAGAGCCTTTATATTATATGATACATTTATATGGTTAACATAATACATTTTGCAGATAATGAGTTTAAATGGAGATGATTAAGCCAAGCTTGTCAAATGTAAAATACAAAAATCGTTAATTATTTAAATAAATTTTTGGGATTAACATATATAAAAGAAGTCTAATCTGTATTATTTTCAGTTTATTAATTACAAAACTTTTAAAAATAATAACCAATAATAACTAATTTTATTTTATGCCACATTTAATATAATTAATATTTCATTCAATTTAATAAATTATCGAGGAAAGCCAGGTTCGATTTTTCAATTCAAGTCAGTGATCATGATACAACAATAAGATTACTTTGCACGCCATACGTTAAGGTGAAAAAAAAAGTGAAAAAAAAATCAAATTTTTATCAAGTATTCAAAAGATCAATTTTACACTTATCGACAAATGGGTAAGTAATTACTCACTTTACATTCACAAATTTTCAATCTCTCTCTTACTTATGCCCACCGGATAGTAAACGATTTAAACGACTGGCAGTAACAAAACTCATAATTTTCTCTTTTTACTATTACACAGTTAACGTAGTTTTAGTTTTAAGGTGAATAGATCGCAAAATTTCGTTTGTTACTTACCCCGTTGTCCAGTCAGTAGGCCGCAATAGGATATCCCATCGACAACTATTTTCTCGGCTGCGCACTTTGTATCAAAATATTCGAAAAGCAGTTCTAACTTACACACGTCCTGAAAGTCATCGGCTTTTTAACGATAGTTGACAGTTGAAATTACATTCAAAAATGATGCATATTTCTTATTGAAAATGATTTTATCACAAGACAATGGCCTAGGAAATTGTTTCCGTCGACTATTTTAAACAATTAAAGAAGAATTAAATTCTTGAATTTAAAATTGAAAAAACTAGAATAGACTTTCTTTTCAAAGGTCACATTTCTTCCTTTAAATGTCATTTCAAATTATAAATTTTTACCTACATTGGATATCCGTTTTAACGTGTAGTTACACGAATCTAATATGTCATATCCCGATAAAATAAATGATTCTTGCCGGATAATTTTTTCACACTGATTGGGTACTGATTTCGGAGTGTGATCTCCATCTGAATTCCAAGGAGGATTTGCGGGAGTAATTGGATAGTACGGATCCTGACACGGGATTTGTCTGTAAATTGCCGAAAACCCTTTCCGACAACAGAACAAATTCGACACAAACCTCATTTCCTGGTAGGGGCGTTTTTGAACGTTTAGTATCGCTGAAAAGAATTCATTCAAGAATACTTATACATATATAAATACTTATACGATTTTATTAATGTAAGTCACGTTTCGTCCTAGTCACAGGTACGAGTCACAAGAACAGATTTTAGTTATAAAAATACAGTTTCATAGCGGAAAATATTTCCTACATCAAAAAATAATTTTATATTAAAAATTATAAAAAATTGATTTTTTTTATTGGTTTTAAGTCTGCTCCTTTAGTTCTCGTGTATGAACTTTATAAGGCAATTAATGAATTCCCTACTTGGAAATTTGTAGTTATAACAAATATTGTGGCATTTATTTTTAACTGACATTTCAGCTAAATTATATTATTCAGTTCGATTACAATTATTTATTTATTAAATACACTTTAAAACCTATTTTCTCCAGGCCAGCAAAGTGCGTAATAAAATAATATAATATATCATACACAAATTAAGAAAAAACAAGATATATTAAATTAAATTAATTAAACAACTTACAAAAAAACTTTAAAAAGCGTATACTTTTTGTTTTTTGTTTATATGCTTTGTGGAAAATAAGTTTGTAGGCCATGGTGACTTTTGTAAAATTTAACTAACTACGCCAAACACGGCCCCCTCGCAATGAAGGGTCCATTTTGTAATTGCGTAATTATTCACTATTCTCGAAATTTATTCAAGAGCGCACCGTATGATTAATCAACCCAAAATTAACCAAAACTGTTTAGCTACAATATATTTCCGTGGTCATTTACTTATGGAAGTAGCATAATTTTCATTGTTATGTATACCAGTGGTATCCTTCAGTTGATTCCCGCAGTATCGATACTTATTTCCAAATGATAA